AACACCAGCAGAATCAAGTTCAGTATAATTACTTGTTGAAGCTCCTATAGTTCTCATAAAACCTAGATAGTCCTTTCGTCTTTTGTTCATTTTGATTTTCTTTTAAATAAACAGCTCAGATAAACCATAAATAGCTTTCTTTTTAACGACCTTCCACTATTTTGAACAACGCTTTTCGTCATTATGCATGAAGGAAATGCGCTTGTTATTTTGTCACAAATTTTGTGACATAAATTGTAACCAGTGATGAATCTAACTTAACAGAGAAAAGTAAAATATTTCATACCAGTGAACAGAAGTCCATATCATGAAATATACAGTAACAAAGTAAGACACTAGAAGATTATTCTTTGTATTCAGACTACTTGATTGTACAATACGTGTTTTATTTTGTGAGAAGAATTACGAAATTAAAAACAGTGTCAAGTACGGACGAAATATAGAAAGGAAAAGAAAGCAGACTATAAATATACATATGTTCTATACTAGAACGAGACAACTTGTGTTATTCTTGCAATTGAATAATGACATTTTCTTCTACGGCGAGACTAGTCTTGTTCACAAAACATAATAGAAAGGATAAAGAAGAAGAAACTGTATCACTCAGTTTTTGTTGTTTTCGATTGTCTTTTGTATATTGTACATTTCGTAAAGGTAGAAGAAAAGAATATTCGGCTTTATGACAAGCAGCTTGAAGCTCAAAATGAGAAAGTTCTTTGAAAACAGTCGAAAGATATAGACTGAATCGAGATAAAAGTGAATCGCATAATATCCTCCATAACTATTCTCTGTTTAGAATCTTTTGCTGGTATTTGGTACCCTTCGAATAGTTTCTAGAGCATTTTATATGGGACATTGTTATTTGTGAGACTAAAAAAATACATAATTTTGTAGCGTTTTTAACGAGCTATGAAACTCTCGTAATTTATTGTATTTTTGTACTTCCTGAATCAAGCACTTTTCAACCGTGTAAGAGGATCGTTAAGGATAACATTTTAGTGAAACGTTATACAATATAGAGTGGGATACATAGAGTATATGGATATATTGATATATTTTATGACGAATTGTACATGCTATAGGTTGATAGTGTCTGTTGTAGGTGGTCCCTTTATATGCACTATACGGACCTATTTGACTGGTCGATCTATCAAGTTGACCAAACAAAGGCTGCGTTCACACTACAAAAGTTAAATGAGCTAAAACGAAGCTGATTGGTCAGAAAGTTAACTCTGAGTTAAATGATGTTTCGGACATCATTTAACTTTAACTCTCCAATCATAAATGAGCTCAGTAACCAATAATATGGTTCCATTAGACAAGGGAGGTAGCGCCAATTCTATTGTGAAACAAATATCTGACTCTCTACTCAATTCTTCTGTTTGAGCTTAGAAAGGCAACTGTAGAACGTAAATTCAAACCGGCCGGATAGAGCACTGAAATCAGCAAGCAGCACACTTTTAGAGGAAACGTCAAAATCTTAGTGGTCTATTAAAGATTTAGGTGTGAACGCTCTCGAAGTTAACTTCGAGTTAACTCAGAGTTGACTCTGAAAAATTTGTAGTGTAAACGCAGCCAAACTGGTCTATTGAAAAGAAATATATTTTATAGTACAGATATCACATGCACAGTCATCGAAGAAATCATTCATACAGGTGCAACACTTAAAAATTACAAAGAAATGTGCACTTTTCAAATGTTTATATTTATTTATTATTATCGTAGTAGTTCTATCATATTTTATGATCATCGTGAGGTATAGAAATAGGTTTTTCTTTTCTCATATTTTTTATAATAAAGATTACATATTTGAGATAAGGTTATATCCTGAGCAGTGATGTTTTCAGCTGTGTGCATATGTCCATTTTATTTCATTTTGTTTTCTTTTGATTTTTGGTTAGATATGGAAAACAATAGAGATACTTACATTGAATGCATCAAGTTTAGATAAACCAATGAAAGTTGATGAATTAGTTAAATTAAAACAACAATTTCCAAATGTTAAATACATAAAACTTTATTTAAGTTCTACTTTAGAACAGAATGAGAATCAAAACGATCATGATGATCGTATGGTTAAATTAGTCTTTAGGAAAGTTCATACAATTGAACTCTATCGTGTAATGTATGAACAAGAGCAAGTAAATATATTAAAACAATTATTACCAAGTCTATGTCGATTGAATACGGATTATTGTAGTTTATGTTATATAACGTGTTTTCTTTCTAATCATAATACGACTAATAGTAGTTTTTTCAGAAACCATATTATTGAATTAAATATTTGTTTTGATAGAGAATTTCCTGGTTTAACTGCCATTGATTCATTATTTAATTATTTTTATAAATTAAGAAATTTATCATTTTTATTTAAAGTTAAAACGACAGAATATTTACGATCATCAGTTGTCAATGAGATTCTTTTACAGTTATTAAAGAAAAAAGAAAATAATTCCTCAATTTATTTGAAGATACATTTCTGGTTAGATTTTATCACAGATGATGATAGAGATTATTTTCAAAAGATGATAATTACACATTTTGACAATGATGAAACGAAATTCAGCTTACATTTTGAAAGAAATTATCTGGAACTTTGGAAGTGATTTACTATCTATTGTAGTATTTAATTTGATTAGAAAAAGAACTGGTTGTTTCGTTAGAGGATTTTTTTTAATCATTTTTCACTTGCGAATTTTCATTTAATTAAAAACAAGCAGCTGTGGTATTTGATTTATT